TTTTTTTTTTTAAATTAGGCTGAAATAGTAAACATGCCACAAAAGTAGATCTATTTCCATCGATTTTTCTTCTGACAAGCATACCCAACACAGTCAATATACGTTATATTTTGAATGCAGCACAGTGTATTTTTTGATTGTAAAATACTGCTTGAAAACAGGTAATCTGAATAATAGTCTCGAATATATAAATACACATATATACATAATAGACACACATACATACGCATATGTGTATATATACACATATACAATCATTAAGTTAATGTTATGTTCTGTTAAAGGAAAAGGATTTGGGAAACAATCTGACTAGCAGATTGTCTTCTTGAAGGTTCATTACAGTCCCATGGGTCAGGAACCAGCCAGGTAAATTCCTCATACCAACAGGGCCACAGACGGGAGAAAAAAAACTAAATCCATGTATTTCTTTTCAGATTTCAAATAACAGTACATCACAGACTAAGAATTATGCCCATTTCACCAATGAATTTATCTTAAGGATAGTCAATTCTTCCACAAAATTATTTATTTTCTCCAATCATTTATTTTTGGATTATATATTTCCAGCTGTTTACATTCATCCCTACATCAATTATCTCCAGCTGAAACCTGTCTGAAGTTCAGCTGAGCACTGTGATTCCAGATGAGACAATAGTAAGTCAGCAGCTCTCAAACTGGTGACATCTTGATTTTCCACAAGTGTCTTTATATAATGTAAGGCAGATTCTACATGAATTTAAATCAGTGGAGGTGTAATAGCTGCAGCAGGTCTATGCTAGTTTACACCAGCTAAAGATCTCTAAATATATTTATGGAGAAAGTTTCTTTTTTATTGCTTAGAATTATTTCTACATGGAATGTTTATTTCTTTACTGAAAGCCTTTCCTTCAGTGTAAGGAACCACTACCTTCAGTTCATTGTATTTAATCTTGTCTTGAAATGAAAAGCTGACCAGTTTTTATACTAGCTATACGGTTGGATGTAGGTTTAAAAAAAAACCCCAACAAAACAACAAAACCCAACAAACCCGTCAAGTGTTTCCACATATTTCCCACTTATTTTTATATATACATATATTTTTTTTTTCCCCTCCTGACTCCACTTGGAACTCTTTAGAGCATACTTCTATAACCTCATTTAAAATTTACTCAGGTGGAAGTGTATTTATTCTACATTTAATCAGCATTTTGGGTTCATTCATAATTTAAAAATCTGAAGAATAGAAATCCTCTTTTCTATGAAAGGGATTTAGAATCTTTGAGGAGCTTTATAAAGCACTTTGAGATGGTTTTGCATAAAAAGATGCCACTGTAGATTAGATGCATTTAAAGTGGTTTAATATTCTACTCCAAATAGAAGAGAGTATTTTATATTCTCAATATCCATTTTGCACGTAAAAATTAAATACATTTTGGAATAAACAAAACCACTCAGTATAAAGGGATGTGAAAGTACTAGACACCAGATTTTACAGCAGCTCCTCAAGCAAGCAGGAGTACCTGATACCAGAAAACAATTTTTAGAGGATCTGGAAGAATGGTGCGGACATGCAGATGTTACAATACACTATTTTTCCATGATAGGGGAAAAATATTAAGTAATTTTGAAAAATGTATTAGTACGTTACAAACAAATGTCATGATAAAATTAAGCCCTTGTTCTGGTTCAACACAGATGAAAATGCACAAAATTACTTTTTATCTGCTTTAAATTGCGCAGGAGACTGGTAGCTACTAAAGGTAGAAAGAAGCTGTCTTGAAAACAAGAGTCACAAAACCTAAATAATTCAGCAGAGCCATTCACATACATTCATGTATCATGAATGAATGCTCAGTTATAGTTTATTCCTTACACACACAGCTTTATGCTAATACATTTAATGCCCTTTTTTTTTTTTTTTTTAACGATTTTAACAGCTGAAATGGGAACAGTCTATACCTTGTTAGAATGATGGTTTTAATTCGACTTCTTTGGTCATGATACTTAAGCCACAGCAGTTACTACTTTGAATTTGTTTCTGTGCAGTCATAATTTACAATTTAAAGTTAAAGAAAAAGTTTTGGATGTTGTAAGGGGGCTTGTCTGTGGAGGATGGAGTAAAATATCAAGGTGGTTAAATTTAGAAGCAACTTCTCCATCTTCTGATCTCCTTTAAGATTGGTGGTACACGCTTTTCCTACAAAATACACACAGAACTGTACATTTGAGTGCCAAGACATTCTGACGCAGGAGAGAGCAATTCCCACCAAGCAACTGATTATGAGAACATGAAATAGGTTTCACTAGGGTAAATAAAATATCCCACGCTATATAAACTTTTGACAGCTGAGAGCAAACATGAGGCTAACATCCAAATAAATAACTCTCAATGCTAACTTAATTTCAAACTGTTTATGCCCAAATGCAGGGCTTCATCTGGGAGATGCTGAAACCACTCAAGCAGCTTCAGCTACTCAATACCACTATAACAACAAGGCAGCCCAGAAATTGCTGCTTCTAACCATTTCCCTAATCATTTAGCTGGAATAGGTCTTCCTACTTGGCTCAGAATTAAGTTTGCAGGAGCTTAGAAAACAGAATGTACTACACTATTACAATCATACCATCATATTATTTTCAGTATAGCTCAGTCCATCTTTTCTGGGAACTCCTTTAAGGCAAATTCTCCCCTTACACTCAACAACTTGAACATGGGAAACAATGTTTTTATACATCAGCATGTAGTGAGACGACCCTCCAGATCCAACTATGGCGCCTGAGACGTTTTTAGAAGATACCCACTTTCAGGAGATGACCATGAAAGAAAGTTAGCCACCGAGCGTTCTTCTAGCTTACCTGGATGTTCCCCCATCCCTTGCCAAGATATACACAAGACGACACGTACTTACTAGGGAGACCTTGGTGAAGATTTGATGGTACTCACCAACATGAATCAAAATGGGCTCAAGCTACCCATAACATAGAGCTGACAGTAGAAGTAACTTAACATCTCTTAGAGAACTACAGAAGAGCTTGCGCATCAGACAAAAGTAATACTAGGGTTACATGCTGAATAATCTGGACACATGGAGCACCCAAGAATGCAGAACTGACATGCACAAAGTCAGTCGTAAAGTTAGTACTCTACAATGCCATGTCCTGATAATTACTAACAGTAGTGTAAAGCTTGGAAGTCTAAAGGCCATGGTAGATTTTGGTATTTGGGCAGGTGATAGCCAGCCCACTAACATTAAGTTGCATGACATTCTTTCTACCAAAGATTGATAGACACTGTACACTTGACACTAAAAACAGAAGTTACTTTAACAATGCCTTGTTAAATTATAAATTAACTTTTTTTTTTCCCCCCATAGTGTCACAGAAAATGTAAAGTGGGAATGGGAGTTCAGTGACTACTTTATCTGGAAATCTCATTATAAAAAAGCAACAGTTTAAATCTTCCGTGGTGTTACCAACAAAACTGGACTTGAACCTGAGCTCTTCAGCTTGACATGATTTAAAATACAGACTGCAGTTATTCTGGGAAGTAAGACTTCTGAATGTTCTTATAAAAAGTTGATTGCAGAAGTTACATATTTTCCTTTCTTTGAGGGATCAGAAAAGGAAAGACAGCAATGATTTTAATTGTCTACTTGATAGTCAATCACTACTTCTGAATTTGTCATATTTCGTCCAAGGTTGTTACAGTAAAAATTTTAGGGAGGTCATTTGCCTCTATGTATAAAAACCCCAACAGGAATGGAAGTTCATAAGGGACTTAATACTGTAAAGCCAACAAGTCCTTATTCCCACAAGTAGAATGCAAATAATGTCAGTTATTGCAACTTGAGATTCGCAGGCTCAGAACTCATACTAAACTCATATAAAGCAGGCTCCACTATACAACAATAATCCTTGAAGATTGTTGTCCTAAGTAAGTATTACAGTGTCTGAACTTCTGCAAAAATTAGAAGATTTAAGTTCAAAATGTTCTTTTGTTCCAATAACCATAACAGCAAAAATACACATTCCCAGAGAGTTACTAGAATCTGTTGCTGTTCTCAAATCACAGACTGCATTTTAGTAATGAACTACTGCACACTTAAAAGATAACAGTGAGAGGGACATTGAAGAAAAGCGACTACTCTTTTAAACACAACTGGAACTTACTTGTCCATTGCATGCCACTTACATTACTGTTTTTTTTTTAATGCATAAAAATATCAAGATCATTAAGCGTCAGCTATTAAAACAAATCACTGAACAGTATTTGTTAATTTAGGACTGTGTTTAATTCCAAATAGAAAACATGCTATTTAAATAAATTATTCACTAATAGGAACCCAATATCATGAAATCAAAGCAAAAATCAAGTATTGTACATTTTTAATACTGTACATATATTATATATTGTTTTATCATATTTTAGGTATTCATTTCTAGATTGAAAATCATTAGATTGTTTCCTTGATAAATTGAAACTTTAAAAGCCAATATACCTGTGAAAGCAATTGCATTACTTAAATTAAAAAGAGACAAGTGAATACAACATATGTACAGATCTCTGGAATTCAATCTATAAACTACATACATTAAACCAAACATCCCTGCATAATTAACTACAGACCTATTTTGGCAATGTGGAGGTATATCTTTTATCCTGTTGCAAATCCTAACATGTAAGTAGGAAGCTTCAATATTTGCATTCTTGATGAAAGCAGCAAACGTTAACTGAAGAGCAACTGGATTTTCAAAAAAATTTGCCTCAGAACAAACAGGTTAGTAAGTATTTTTAATAGCTTTCACATTTTTTTAAAAAGTCTCTGAAATGGACCTGTACATCACTTTTATTGATAGAACATAAATATAAGAAAAAGATCCCTAAAAAGACCAGATTTTTTCCCAAACATAAAGTGCTAAGATGTGTATGGTAGTAAGAAGTTTCTTTTTTTTTTTTCGTTGATTGAGCAATGAAAGGTTAAACACAAATTCAATTGAAATTTTTTTTAAAATGCCATGCTTTCTTGAGCTTCAGCATTCAGACGTTTTAGAAGATTCAGGTTGGTCTTCTAAGTTTACTTGCAGTTCATTTTGACATTCTGGTGTCTCACCTTTGACAGCTAAATGGATAACTTTTAGCCATTTCTGCTTTAGTTCCTCATTGTCCGCAGCAAAGCTGTGCACAGACTTAGACTGGGTCAGTTTGAAGCTGTGTGGGAGGTCAGCACTTCTTGGAGTGTCATCTACTGTATAGCCCAAAAGTGGAATTGTAGCCAGAGCTTTAACATCCTAAGAAGAATGAGAAGTTCTTTATTAAGAACAGCCAACTAATCTGCCCACTACCTCTCGTTTACTATACAGGTTGGTAAAAAACCTTGGGTCTCTCCTCCATTCCCAAGCTATTTGACTTCTCTTCCTCAGACGTCAATGACAATAATTACTAAAATCGTTCCCATTTTCTCTCTACATACCTGTGGAGCACCATACATGTACAGCACAAGAGCTTCCTGTTTAGGTATAACACACCATGCTTTCTGCCAGGGCTTTGATTTTTCCATGTACTGAAGAAAGCTACATATGACACTATTTCCAGAGACTTCTGCAGATTCAATCTAGGAGACGGTATAAATCATAAAAAGGAAAAGAAACTTTCTTAAACAAAGGCTAAAAGCACAGAGAACAGAAAAGCTGAAATACATCACCATTCACATGAAATCTTAGATATCAGCTGCAAAACAGCTTGAGGAAATACCCAAGGAAGTTAAAGACTGGATTTACAGAGAATATTTATATAACACATACAATCACAGTGTGTACTCCCGCATCATGAGTGTAATCTGTTCCTTCTTTCATCAGTAATTTTGGATTATACACTTCTAGATCACCTTAAAACTCCATTTACCACCACAGCTAGCCTTTCTCTGTATCTTATATCCACAACAATGTCTTACTTCTAAGATAACATGTTAGGGATCCAAGTGCTACTAACTATCCAATATGACAGCTACTCTATTTTGACAGGTTCAGATGCAAACACATTTGTAAGAATAACATAAGAATGCAAGTACTAATCCTAGAGAAAAGATCAGGTGAATTGCTTAAAATCTGAAGCCAGAGTGACATGCTGCTTCGGTTAAATAGTGGTCCTGAGAAGAACAAAAAGAACACAAGATGATTATATGTTAATATTTCCTTGCATCTATTTTTTTACCTTCCCCTGGAGTGATGCTGTCAGCTACCTTAAAAAAGCCATCACGCCAAGAAACAGCAGTCTCTTGACTATAAGGTAACCTAGTGCAGTTCTGTGCTCCTGAGTCTCTTGTTTAAGAAAGTGTAGGCAAGTGTAGTCAAGCCAACATGGATTACGAACTGCATATGGAATTACAATCTGTATCTTATTTTTGCGTTCTTCTGTTGGTACTTAGCTCAAGGGTCAATCCTTCTCTACTACATCCCAAGATAGATGTAAGTCTTGACAAAGTTAGGATGATATTTCCCTAATGTATGTCAGGCGTTTTAAAAGGACCTGTAAGGGGGGGATTTTAGGAAATGTGAAGGTTAATTGCAACTGTAAGACGCCTATTTCTTCCTCTGCTCAGAAGAGAAACACAGGTCTTTATTGTCTGATTGAGGCCTTGAATTTTTAGATGTCAAAAGCCAAGAGCAACTTGATGACTTGAAGGTACATTGTATACACTGATCAAAACAGTATCTAACTACTCAGACTCTGAATAGCAAAATTCTCCCCATTCCTCCATCACAAGCTCTTTCAGTTTGGGTATATGTTTTCAAGAATCATTGTAGTAGCAGCATTTTTTGTTGCTACAACAGCTTAAGTGCAGAAGAAGAAAACAAGAGTTTTAAGGAAAGGATTTATAAAGAAATGTTTTATCACGATAACTGGTATAACTGGAAAGAAGCAAACAAGCCAAGGTTCATAATTCCCCCTTTAAAAAGACGTAACGAACAAAGATGAATGGTGAAAACCAAAATCTATTGGATGGGATGAATTTGGTCCACATACTTTTTACTTTTCAAACAGAAAACAGCCCTGCAAGAATACTATCATTTTCACCTACTGATGGAGCCAAAACTGTTTGCAGCTATGAACATACAATATTTTTAAATTACCTACCTCTAAGATGCCTTTCTTCTTCTTTTCTTCACTGTCTGTACAACCAATTATAACATGATAGCAGTCCTTACAGACTTTGTTCAATTTATTGCCATCATATTCGAGATGTGCCTTATAATCAGAACATTTCCAGCAGACCACCTTAGAAACAGAAAAGACAAGCAAACATATAAAATTTAAGTGTTTATAAAACTTTATGGAAACAGAATTTAATTTAAAATTAATATTATTGTATCTAATTAGTAATATTTTGTTTAAACAGAACAAGAAAGATAATTGCTTTATAATATTATGTCAACAGTAGCTTAATTGAAAAAAAAGATTTTTCCAAATTTGTGCCACTGCTTCTTAACTAGAAGTGCTTTTCATTATTTACCTGGTGGGAGCTTTGTATAAAATCACATTGGGCTTTCAATTATATCTGTAGGTTAAAGTTAGGAGTAGAATCAGAACCTACCACAAACCATGCTGCAAGAAGAAAATCCTCCAGTTTCTTTAAATGCCAACCTGAAAAGGTACACTTACCATTTTGTTTTCTACATAACCTCAGAAAATGTACAACTGAGATACACTTTTAATGATTAAAAATTTAATAAAAACCAGAAATGATTGTTTAACCTAAGAAATATTAAATTTGCAGTTTCAGAATCTGTTCGTGAGCACACAGAATACATAAGCCAATGTCACAGTGTCCTTTGTCATTTCACAAAATAAATGGAGAAAACTGAAATGCAAGAAGATCTGAGGGAAGTTCTTTCATTAGAAATATTTTTCCACAGAAATGTTGTTTCAGGGGAAAAAGATGCCCTGCATAAAAAGTGTGAGTGCAGATATTTCAAGAAAGGAAGGTAGAAAAATGGACTTGAACCACTCAAACACCTGAACAATATTTTTTTGTGGACCAAGGCTCTGCAGTACTAATCTAGATCACTTCCTTCAAATAGTATCTCTACAGAATACTAGTTAAGTATTCCCAATTAGTTGCTGCTGGAAAGACACTATCACTGACCCAAATTAATTCCCATTAAAAAAAATGTTTTAAAATTAAATTGGAAGGAGATGTGATAGAACTACAATAAAGGGAAGTAGTTAGGAGTCTAAACAAAACAGAGGGAAAAAAAGGAAGGGTGTGATCTTAAGGTTAATGGAGGAGTTTTAAGGCAGAATGATCTGGAAAAAAAAGCCAGATGACAAGTTTATAATCAATAATTCAGAGCTGAAAAAGTCTCTAGTGTCCTGCAAAGCACAGAAGCAGGGTTGTGAAGGCAGTAAGCCTTCCTACCACATAAAAACATTAGAAAGAAAGCATAAAATAAAAATTAAACCTGGGCTAGCACTACCACCTGCTGGAGAAAGGCAGAGCTGTTGGATTGCAAGAAAAAGCCCAGTATGTTCGTTCTTTCATTAAACTCCTGAAAACTCTCAAGTCATACCACAGTCTCATAGTCCCTTTAAAGTGACGTACGTTACTGTAGCATCATACATGGAGAGCAGCAGTAATACTCTCTTCCCCTTCCCAACCTTCTCTCCTTCCCGGATGCTTCACGCACGTTTACAGTTACGCACTGAACCCAGCTGGAAACTGCTCCAAGTTAACCCAATGAAAAAAGTTTTAACTGCAGGTCTCCATGGTCTTCTTGCGAAGAGGAGAGAGAAGTTAGCAGACTGGGAAAAGAAGGCAGCCAGTGCTGCCAGGGATAAGGCTGGCTTACGCCAGTTTGATGTGGTCTTGAAACTTGAGATCAGTGGAGGCCACTCAGGAGTAACAAGCGGTGTTCCCCAGCGCTCAGCTTTGGGGCCGGTCTTGTTTAATGTCTTTATT